GTCCTTGGGGATTTCCTGTTGGTGGAACCTGGACCATTGGAGCTGGACCTCCCTGAGCTCCAGATGTTGGTACCTGGACCATTTGGGGCTGCATGCTCACAGCCCCAGCTCCAGATGTTGGCACCTGGATCATTTGAGGCTGCATGCTCACAGCCCCAGATAAAGGGGCTTGGTACATTTGTGGCTGAGTGACTACTTGCATTACACCACCTCCTGGCATTTGAACTGTTTGAGGATGGCCTCCTACACCCCCTGAAGAGGATACTGGAACCATTACCACACCACCTGCTGTTTGCACAGGAATTCCCATGGGAGCACCCCCAGCACCATACACCATGCCTTGGTTGCTCACATAAACCATTGAGGGTGCCTACAAGTGTAAGTTTACATATCATCAGATGTAGACACTTGATAATGCAAAAACCTTGAACGCTGAAAAGCGTTAACAATGAACAATGAAACTTTATAGCTTTATGAATACACAAATTGTCCATGATAGCCACAGTTACACACTTTCCTTACAGAAAAGAATTATCAGAAACAACGGCTTTCAATGAAAAATGGAAAGAAAAGTACTGATTATGTGATTATAATTGTGAACCTTCCCAAAAAAGCTGTTTGATCTCGTTGTTCAAGGATCACAAGACAATTACATTGTGAGGAGAAACAGATCAGCAGACAGACAGAGATAAACAAGGAAACATAGAAACAAGGAAACAGGCAGTGCCTACACAGTCAATGAACCATGCTGACAAGATAATGATGATAATGATGACTATGGCAATGATGATGACATGACCATAACGATGACTGCAACCATGACAACAACAATGAAGATGACGAGGATGACTATGATGTTGATGAAGATAAATAATGATCTTATTCTATTGTCGAAATGGTAGTAATAGTTATGGTAGTGCTAATAATAATTATGATTGATCAGAACAAACTAGAGCAAGATCAGTAGATAGCCTGTTAGGCAGGGTCTTCCTGCACTAGTGAACAAAACTAGAATTGTTCCCACAAGATCAAAGGACAAAGTTCGTCATGAAAAGTTTTTGTCTCATCTCTTGCATCCCCATTAACAATTTCAAAGCTGTCAAATTCCATCAGCATCAATCTGTTCATAAGACCAACCAGCATAGTTGCCAAAGGATTCCACCTCTGCTTTCCAGGATTTATCCCAAGTCGTTTTAAAATTTTAGAATATCCAAGTTTTGCAGCAAAAGACAATTTTTGCCTTTCTAGTAAACTGATTTTGGTTCCATTACATGTTTGTTGTAGCTTATACGACAAATGATTGACAAGTTTATCATGGTTTTGTTTATTCAGTTGATTTTGCCAAATTTTTTAACCGAGACAAATTTTGTCAGCAATGCATTTGAAGATTTGTCTGCTTTGGTCAAAATTTGTCAAGTCGTGACAAACCATCCGCACTTGTAAAATGTTGGCCATGATAGAAAATTTGTCAAAATAAACAACTTTGTTGCCAGTGTGGAAAGGCCCTAACACAGACTCAAAGGAGCAGACAAAGCAAAATTTACCCAGTAGATATACAGTACCTGGCCTCCTTGAACAGCACAGCACTGGCAAGCATTCATATTACAGCACAGAACTGCAGCCCAGATTCCAATGCCAAACTCAACAATACCAAGAATCAATGTGATTACTGTAACAGCCATTTCTGCATCATAGTTGTACCAGTAGCGCTGATAAAAATCATCTTCATACCAAGGAGAAGTACGATACATTGCAATAGAAATACTGAAACAGATGATTATTATTCCTCCAAACACAGCAGAGGTGATGGCACAACCCATA